GGGCACTGTGGGATAGTGGCGGTGTGAGGGCCTCAGTTTTTTCTTACTGGGACTTTTATCATTATTTCTGGTTATTTTTCTGTTGGGGTTTTTTTTTGCTGTTAGTAGGGATTTCCCCTTGCTATTATTAGGTGTTTCTTTGCTATTATTTTATGTGGTTTTAATAACCACAGTTCCTAGGAAAAAATTCAACTAAAATGTTCCCCTGGCTCACAACTACAGCCGACCCCTGCCTTAAAGTGCCTGACTTTAAAATCAAGTGACACCAGAGTTTTCCTGTTAATTTGCCCTACAAGGTTGCACAAGATCAGAGAAGCCAAAAACCACTGAAATATCGCCCGTGCCCTGTGTGCTCCTGTCCCTGTCCCCTGGGATGAGATCCCAAATCCCCCCCGGCTGGCCCCTCCTGTCAGGGAGTTGTGCAGAGCCACAAATTCCCCCTGAGCCTCCTTTTCTCCAGGCTGAGCCCCTTCCCCTCAGGACTCTCCAGCCCCATTCCCTTCCCTGGATGATCCCGAACCCCTCCCCTCACTCCAGTGCCTCATTAATTTCTAATTAACACTCAGAATTCCCAACCTGTTTGATCTCATTCCTTAAAAACTCCACGGAAAGCAGAGAGCTCTGCACAGACACCAGAGTGAGCAGCCTACCTTTAATCCCTTAAATAGAATCATACAAATATAAAATGGAAGAATAAAATATTTACAGAAAAAAAAAAATCCCCCAAAAAAACAACAAAAAAACCACGGGGATTCCACCCAATCCCATCTCCAAGGGGCTGGGAAAGAGGGAAGCAGCCAAGGAGGAACATTCCAGGTGCTTTTTTTACCCTCCCCAAATGATCCCGGGTGGATGATTGAGGCTCATTCCAGTCCTTGAGCAGGGAGGGATCCTCAGGAGCGAGAGGCACTTGAAGCAATCCTCCTCTTCCCTTTCCCAAATTCCTGCAGGCAGCCCTCAGGAGGAATTCTGGCTGCCCATCCCAGGATCCCGGGGCCATCAGGAAGGATCCCCCTGGATCTCTGTGAGTCAGGTTCCTCCCCCTGGCAGTGCTTGGTCCAAAATCCCAAATTCCTGCCCCGGCCCCTTCCTCTCCCAACCCGGATTTCCTGAATTCCCCCCCCCAATTCCGAGTCCATCCACGAATTCCAGAGTTGACATAGTAACTCCAGGATTTTTGGGATTCAGTGTCCAGGAGGGAGCTGGGATGGCTCTGGGGATGGGATCCGTGTCCCTCTCCCGAGGGAATTCCAAGTGCTTTGTCCTGTCCCGTGTGGGAGGAGCCGCCGGGATAAATTCGGCCCGGGAATTTCGGGATAACAGAGTTCAGACTCTGCCTATTCCTAACGCTCCAACTGTTGCTTCCAGCTGGGAAAACGATCTCCTGCACGGATCCAACAATATTTACAGGATTTGTGGGGGGGTTGAGGGAGAGAATTTTGCTTTTTTTTTTTCTTTTTTTTTTTTTTGTTAAACCCCCCCCCTCTCAGCTGTCAATCATCTCCGAGAGTTCCAGCAGGAGATCATCCTCGTCCTTCCCTGGATCCAGGTCGATTTCTGCTTCCAGTTTTCCCCCCGAGATCTCCCAGATGAGTTTCTCGAAGTCGTCCTCCACGGACAGGGCGGGTTTGGCGGCGCCCGTGGAGCTCAGGCGCCGCAGCTTCACCGGAACCTCCAGCGAGGACGAGGAGGAGGAAGAGGAGGAGGAGGAAGATCCCGACACCTCCGACTGTGCCAGGGAATCCCCCTGGCTCCCAGCCTGCAGCTCGGGGCTGGGGAAAACAGGGAAAAGGGGAGAAAAAAAAAAAATCAGCGTGGGAGATGCCTGAGGTGGAGCTTAATGCTTTAATTTAATTTAATTGGGGATGCCGAGAGTTTGGGGATGGGTTTTGGGAAGTCCAGGATCAGGTTTGGGAAGTCCTGGATCATTTTTGGGAATCCTGGATCATTTCTGGGAGCCTTTGATCATTTTTGGGAGTCTTTGATCGATTTTGGGAATCCTGGATCATTTTTGGGAGCCTTTGATCAATTTTGGGAATCCTGGATCATTTTTGGGAGTCCTGGATCATTTGAGTCTTTGATCATTTTTGGGAATCCTGGATCATTTTTGGGAGCCTTTGATCAATTTTGGGAATCCTGGATCATTTTTGGGAGTCCTGGATCATTTGAGTCTTTGATCAATTTTGGGAATCCTGGATCATTTCTGGGAATCTTTGATCATTTCTGGGAATCCTGGATCATTTCTGGGAGTCTTTGATCATTTCTGGGAATCCTGGATCATTTCTGGGAATCCTGGATCAATTTTGGGGAGTCCAGGATGAGCTGAATCAGTTCAGGGTTTGGGGATTCAGCTGTGAGGAAACACAGCTGGAATGTGGGGGAGAAGGGACAAGAAGAAACCCCCCCAAAAAAATCACTGAAAAAAAATCCCAAAAAAATCTCTGAAAAGAACCCCAAAAATCCACTGAAAAGAACCCCAAAAGTCACTGAAGAAAACCCAAAAAAAGTCACTGGAAAGAAACCCCAAAGAGCCACTGGGAAGCTCTGCTGCACCAACACCAATTCCAGTTAATTCCAGTTAATTCCAAATCTGCTGGATTTCAGCACCAATCTCCTCCAAACTGGAATTTCCCCCCTCCCCACTGCCACCCCTGGGGTCAGAAGGAGAGGCTGGGATTGGGATTTACCTGCTCTGGGAATTCTGGGGGTTGGAGCCTGGGCTGTTCTCTGCAGAAGTGGCAACAACAACCTGGCAATGAGGAACAGGACAATTTTTAGGATATAAAAACCCCCCCAAATTTTAGGAGATTCTTCTTTATCTGCTTCACTTGAAGCAGAGCATTCCCAAAATGAGGAATTTTTTTTTTTTTTTTTTTAACTTTTAAAGGAATTTTTTCTTTAGAATGGGACAAAACCCTTCCCAAACCCCAGCAGGGGATTCTGGATGTCTGCCCTCCACACCTCCGGGGTGAGATGGGAGGGGAGAGCTGGAGGAAATCTCATTTTTTTGGTTTTTTTTTGTTTTTTTTGGGAAGCAGTGGGGATGGATTTGAGGCCTTACCTTGGCTGAGGGCTCCTGGCTGTCCCTGCTGGTGGCACTGAGTGGCTTCACGGCCACCACAGCTGGGGGGGGGCCCTCGGGTCCCTTCCTCTTCAGGGGCTGCTTGGGGGAGGATTTGGCCTCCAGGGGCTTCAGGCACACCTTGGCTTTGGCTGCAATGCAGGGAAAAGGAAGAAATGGTTGGGAAAATTTAAAAAAAACAAAAAAAAAAAATCAAAAACCAAACCTGACAGGGTTTTTTTTGGATAATCCTGGAATTCCAGGCTGGTTTGGGATGGGGCAGTCAAGGATTCTGTGGGGGTTTTCAAGCTGGGAATGAGGCAGGAGAGCTGAAATTGGGATTTTTTTTTTTTTTTTAATGGAATCATGGAATGGTTTGGGTTGGAGGAGCTGAAGGATCATCCCTTTAGGATCCCTTTTTATTTATCCAATCCCATCCCATTCCATTTTATCCAATCCCTTTATTTATCCAATCCCAGCCCTTTTTTTATCCAACTCTATCCCTTTATTTTTCCAATGCCTTTTTTTTAAAAATCCAATTCCTTTTTTTAAAATCCAATCCTTTTTAAAATCCAATCCCTTTTTTTTAATCCAACCCTTTTTTTTAATCCAATCCTTTTTTTTTCCAAATCCAGCCCTATTATTTTTTTAAATCCAACCCTTTATTTTTTTTAAATCCAACCCTTTTTTTTTTAATCCAACCCCTTATTTTATTTTTTTTTTTTAATCCAACCCCTGCTCTGCATTTACCCCAAACATTCCCAGGGGAACATCCCATGGCCAACCCCAACCTGCCAACCACATTAACCTCACACTCAGAATTTTTTTTGGTTTTTTTTTTGTTTTTTCCCCCCCAAATCCCACTCCCAGGACCCCCCAGCACTCACTCCTGCCTCTCCTCTCTGTGATTTTCCCTGGGCTGCCCAGCCCCAGTTTCCTCCTGCCAGGCTGAGCTGATCCCACTGCACCTTCTGGGCTTTTATCCTGAATTTTATCCAGATTTTTATCCAGATTTTTATCCTGGTTTTTATCCTGTTTTTTTTCCTGGTTTTTTTCCTGGTTTTCAGCTGGAATTGTCCCAGATGTTTTGGGTATTTTCTCCTCCTGGAGCTGTTTCTGACGTTTCTCCCACATGATTTCTTCCAGGCTTTTCACCTGAATTCCAGAATTCCCTGAATTCTGAGAAGGAAAAATAAAATAAAATAAAATAAAATAAAAATGTCACAAGGGGGTTATTGGGGTAAAAATGTGTGGGTAAAAAAAATATCTATGGATTAAAAATGTGTGGGTAAAGAAAAAAAAATCTATGGATAAAAAAAATCTGGAGAAAAACTCTATGGGGGAAAATAAAATCTATGGATTAAAAAAAATCTATGGGAAAAAATCTATGGAGAAAAAAATCTATGGATAAAATAAAATCTATGGGGGAAAAAAATCAATGGATTAAAAAAAATCTATGGAGAAAAACTAAAATCTATGGAGAAAAAACTCATGGATAAAAAAAATCTATGGATAAAAAATATGGTGAAAAAAATCTATGGAGAAAAATAAAATCTATGGATTAAAAAAAATCTATGGAGGAAAAAAAATCCGTGGAGAAAAAAATGGATTAAAAAAATCTATGGATAAAAAAATATAGAGAAAAAATCTATGGGGAAAAATAAAATCTGTGGAGAAAAATAAAATCTGTGGAGGAAAAAATCTGTGGAGAAAAAAAACCCATGGATAAAAAAAAAAAATCTATGGATAAAAAAATCTGTATAAAAAAATCAATGGATAAAATAAAATCTATGGATTAAAAAAATCTATAAAAAAAAAAAATGGGTGGCAATGCCTCCAAAATGGCTCCACCATTAAAATCCAACTTTTTTTTTTTTTTTCTCCAAGGTGGAAATTTTCCTATGGAAATGCATTTTGCAAACTGCAATTCCCAAAAAGAAAAAAAAAAACAAATTTTCATGGAGAACAAGGCTCTGCCTGTGTCCTAATTCCATCTTTTTAGGGAATATAAAATTCATTTAGGATTTCACCACAATTCCCAAATGAGGAAAAACAGGGAGCAGGAAAGAAAAATTGACAAAATTTTGTCAGGAAAATTTCTTTATTTTCTGCCTCAAATGCTCAGAAATGGGAGGGATTGATCAGAAATTGCAAGTTTTTGTTCTAAATTTATCAAAATGATTTTAATTTATAAATTTTGTTCTGAATTTGTTGAGACTCACCTCAGCAGGTGCAGAGCTCCCTTTGGGGGAAGGTTTGTTCAGCTCCACAATCATTTTTTCTTCTCTTCCAGGTGCTTTAAACCACAAAAAAAAAAAAAAAATTGAATTTATTTGTTTTTTTTAGGGGGGTTATTTCTCTATTTTTATTAACAGGAAGCAATTCCTGCAGGATTTTTTTCTCTCCTTCAGTCACATCATGGATTAAATCATTTTAAAAATGAAATTTTTCATGCTCTTGTGCTGATAAATCCTTCCCAAATATTCCAAAGGGGAATGGAATGGATTCCAGCACTGGGAAAATTCCACAACACAAAGGGCAGGGCAGGGAAAAAAAAAGAAAAAAAAAAGGAAATTACAGCACAAATCTTCTCTAGGAATTGATTTTCCAATGGGAAACAAAGGAAATCATGGAATTTATGGAAAATCAAAAAATCCTTTTAACTCCAGAGCCTGAAAGCTCAAGGGATGAATTTTCCTCAAGGAAATGATGGAATTTATGGAAAATCCCAAGAATTTTTTAACCCCAGGGACTGAAAATTTTCAAGCAAACCCAGAAGGAGAAATCCAAGAAACTCCTGAGCTAACAGGATTGCCAGGGGCAGGAAAAACAGAATTTCAAAGGGGGGGAAAAAGAATTTCAAAGGGGGGAAAAGCAGAATTCCAAGGGGGGAAAATCAGAATTCCAAGGGGGGAAAACCAGAATTCCAAGGGGGGAAAACCAGAATTCCAAGGGGGGAAAACCAGAATTCCAAGGGGGGAAGAACAGAACTCCCAGGGGGATAAACACAATTCCAAAGGGGAAAAGCAGAATTTCGAGGGGGAAAATGAGGATTCCAAAGGGGTAAAAACAGAATTCCAAAGGTGAAAGCAGGATTCCAAAGGGGGAAGATCAGGATTCCAAAGGGGTAAAAACAGAATTCTGAAGGGGAAAAGCAGGATTTCAAAGGGGTAAAAAGGTAAAAACAGAATTCTAAAGGGTAAAATGAGGATTCCAAAGGGTAAAATGAGGATTCCAAAGGGCTTAAATCAGAATTCCAAAGGGTTAAAATCAGAATTCCAAAGGTTAAAATGAGGATTCCAAAGGGGTAAAACCAGGATTCCAAAGGTTAAGATGAGAATTCCAAAGGTTAAAATCAGAATTCCAAAGGGGTAAAACCAGAATTGCAAAGGGTTAAAATGAGGATTCCAAAGGGGTAAAACCAGAATTCCAAAGGGTAAAATCAGAATTCCAAAGGGTAAAATCAGAATTCCAAAGGGGGTAAAACCAGAATTCCAAAGGTTAAAATGAGGATTCCAAAGGGGTAAAACCAGAATTCCAAAGGTTAAAATCCGGATTCCCAGCTCACCCAGCAGTTTGGTGACCCGGAGCAGTCTCCTGCCCCTGAGGGCAGCCTGGGTGGGGCCGGGTGGGGCCGGGACGTTCTCCCCGCTCTGCTGCATCCTCAGCGCCTTCTCCCTCTTGATCTCCTCCAAGGTTTTGATGCGAACTTCGGCGGCTCCCTTGGCTCTGCCAGCCTCTGCCAGCTGTGCCCTGCCTGCCACAGCTGGAGCAGGAATGTTCTGTTTCCTGCCATCGGCCTCGGGTTTAGCCCTGCTGGGGAATTCCTCGGTTTTTTCCTTCTCCTCTCCCGATCTTTTGTGGTTTTTTTCTGCCAGGGCTCCTGGCAGGGATTTGATGCGGGTGGTTGGGGAGGGTCTGGTTCCTAAATTGGGATCTTCGTTTTTCTTTCCTTCTCCTGGAGTTTTTCCTGGGGTTTCTCCTCGTCTCTGGTTGGCTCTTTCCAGTCGGATTTCCTCCAGGGTTTTCACCCTGATCTCCTCGATGGGTTTGGAAGATTTGTCTGAGGGAACAAAAAAATCAAATCTGGTCAAACGGAACTGAGCTCCAGGAGGGGGGAAAAGTCTCCAGGATTTCTGCCAGTGCTGAGGGAATTTGGGATTGAGGGCTCTCGGTGGCCCTTGGGTGGGAAGGGCCTGAAGGATCATCCATGGACACCTTCCACCATCCCACGGTGCTCCAGGACACTCCCAGGGATGGGGCAGCCACAGATTTTCTTGGAATGAGTCAGGAGAGCTGAAATTGGGATTTTTTATTTTTTTAATGGAATCATGGAATGGTTTGGGTTCCCATTCCCACCCCTGCCATGGGCAGGGACAATTCCCATGATCCCAGTTTGTCCCAAACCCCATCCAGCCTTGGGGACTGCCAGGGATTCCTCTGGGAATTCCATCCCAGCCCCAGGGAAGGATTTATTCCCAAAATCCCATCCAAACCAGCACAGGGAATCCTGGAATGGTTTGGGCTGGGAGGGATCATCCAATCCCATGGCCAGGGACACCTCCCACTATCCCAGTTTGATTTTATTTGATCCATTTGATCCTTTTTATCCATTTTTTTTCCATTTTATCCACTGTCCATCCTGGCCTGGGACACTCCCAGGGATGGAGCAGCCACAGCTCCTCTGGGAATTCCATCCCAGCCCCTCCCAGGGAAGGATTTATTCCCAAAAATCCCATCTAAACCCCATCAGTCTGCAGCCATTCCCTTCACCCTGTCCCTCCATCCCTTGGGAATGTTCCCTCTCCACCCTTTCCTGCAGACTGGAAATTCCTCCCACCCCAAAATTCCTCCTCTTCAGGCTGAACAATCTCAATTCTATGAAAAATAAACTTCCCTCCCTCCTTTAAACCACTTGGATTTGGAAAATCAGAGCCAGTTATCCTTTAAAATTACCAATTTAAGGCTGTATGGAAGCTCTTGGGAAGAAAAAAATAATAAAAAAAAGGAATATTTCAAATTTAATTTTTACCTGTCTCAGTGCTGCTCTGCTCAGAGGGCAGCCCCAGCCTCTCCTTCAGGGACTTCAGGACTTGAACTAAAAAAAAAAAAAAAAAGAGGAAAAGTTAAAAAGTGGCAAAAATCCCAATTCAGGGTGAGAAATGAGACAGGAGAGCACCAGAGTGACCTTGAACCCTCAACCAAATGTGCAAAAAGAAATCAGGAGAAGAAAGGAGGAACAAAAAAAAAAAAAATCCCAGACAGAAAACAAGGGGAGAAATCCCAATTAAAAAAAAAAAAAAAAAAAAAGAAAAAAGGCAGAAAATCCCAACCAGAAGAGCTGAACAGAAATTCCAGGTGGGAATTCCAGGTGTTTTTTTTTACCTGTGCCTCTCTTTGGGGCTTTGTCAGAGTTTGTCTGCAGCTCTGCCTTCCTCCCCAGCCTGTCCCCAACGTTTCTCCTCAGGGGAAGGAAAGTTTTCCCACCTTCAAAAAAAAAACCAAAAAGAGACAAAATGAGAAATTCTTTCAGAATATTCCTCTGCAGGAGGGTTTAGAACAATCCCCCAGGAATAGGAATCCTCCTAGATTAATTGTGAATATTTAATGGTTTTTAGTTGCTACCTAAAATTTGGTTTTTTTTGAGGTAAAAAAACTTCACAAGAAGCTCTCACCCATGACAGTTTTCCTTTTTCCCAGTCTGTCAGGAAGATTCAGCTGGATCACAGGGTCCTCCCCTAAAACCAGGAATATTTTTTTCAGTGCATCAAAATCATCTCCAATACAGCCCTTATCCCAAAAAAAAAAATAAAAAAAAATTACATTTTCTGTCAGCCAAAAGAACAGGAACTAAGGAAAGGCTGAGAGGAGAAAATTGTTTTATTGAGCTTTAATTCCAACCAAATCCAGCACCTTGAAAATTCCAATCAGGAAAGGCAGCACTGCATCTGAATGATCCTAATTATCAATAAATTGATGTAATGGGGGGAGGGTGTGGAATGGGAATTTTGGGATTACCTTCCTTGGAGGAGAGGGTCACAGTTCTCAGCACAGTCCTGACATTTTCCTTCTCTGGCACAGGAATGCTCCGGGTTTGGAGAGGATCCACAGCCACTCCTGAAGGACCTTCTGAATGGAAAAAAAAAAATTAGAAATTAATTCAAAAATAGCATTTTTTTCCTCGGATTTCCCTCAGAATTCCAAGCAGCTGCCAATACCAGAGTAGCCCCCTCCAAAAAAAACCAGAAGTTTGTCCTTGAAGAATCTCCCGATTTGTAAAAAAAAAAAAATAAAAATTCCTTCCTAAATTATCCAGGTTAAACCCAAGGATGAACAGAAGGATAAAAAAAAAAAAAAAAAAAGGATTTTAGGGATATTAACTCACCACCTTGTTTTTTGGCTTTTTCCTTGAGTTTCTTCAATTTGATTTCTTCCAAGGTTTTTATTCCAAAATTTAAGTTGTCATCTGGAAGCACAGAACAGTTCAGGAAATGGAGATAAATCCTTCCCAAAATATTGGGAATAAACAACTGTCAACACTCCCCAGCACTTAAAAATCCCCAGAACAGGTGGGATTTTGGAAAATTGGCAGCTTTTTACACTCTCCAAGGGAAAAATCCACACTTTTGAGCACAAATTCATGGAGAGGGATTAAAGATTCCTTGGATCTGGATTTCCACAATGCCTGAAGGGACATTTTTAGAAATTTCAACTCAAACTCTACAAACTCCACTTAAAACTCCATTTAAACTCTACAAATTCTATTTAAACTCTACAAACTCCACTTAAACTCCATTTAAACTCTACAAACTCCACTTAAACTCCATTTAAACTCTACAAACTCCACCTAAACTCCATTTAAACTCCACAAACTCCACTTAAACTCCAGTTAAGCTCCACAAATTCCAGTTAAACTCCATTTAAAATCTTCAAATTCCATTTAAACTCTACAAACTCCACTTAAAACTCCATTTAAACTCCTTAAATTCCATTTAAACTCTATTTTGTCCCACAAAACCAAACCAGGAGCAGTTTCCCTGTTTGGGGACAGTGCTTAGGTGGCAATGAACTCCTGGATTCCATCCATCATGCCTGGATTTTATTTAATTTTAGGAAGATTTTGCTTTTAATTGCCAAATACTGCTCCCAATCCCTCCTCCTGCAGCTCCTGGAATACCTGGCTTTGCACTGGGATTGGATTTCCTGGTGGAAATCACCCTCAGCCCATTGTGGCTTTCTGTGGGTGGTGGCTGGACTGGGGTTTTGGATTCTTCTCCTTCTTCAGAAAGTTGGTCTGAAAGGGGAAAAAAAAAAAAAAAAAAAAAAATCAAACCCAAAATGAAAAAAATTTATGGAGTAGGGAATTTAATATCAGAATTCTTCATTATTAACTGGTTCAACATTTTAACCCATAAAAAAGATTGATGACATTTTTCTGCAGCTCCTCCAACGGCTGCAGAAATCATAAAAATTTGGATGATTTCTATCTGGATTGAAACCAGAAATATTCTCCATAAATTCCAGCTTCCTCACCATCATCATCCTCATCATCATCTGCAGCGTTGATGACCACTGGGGGGTGGGTGGGACTGGGAACATTCTCAGAATTTTCCACTTTCATCACCCCCCTGAGCTGTGGGGAGGGGTTGGATTGAACTGAGAGTTTGTTCTGCTGCACCATCTTCACCTCGTCCTCTGCAGCCTCGGGGGGGCTTGGAAGAGTGGCTGGAAAAAGAAAAAAAAAAAAATAAAAAAAAAAATCTAAAATTTCACCCTGAAGTTGGAAATGTGGTAACAGAACACATGTGGGTTCAGTTTGATTTTAACCCAAAATGGGGTTAAAAAATAAAGGGAAAATGAAATTTGAAAAGCAAAAATTACCAAGCACAGAGCAGGGAAAAAAAAATTAAAATGAGAATTTTGCTCCATTCTCCCAAATGTAAACCTTTCAGGAAGTGTGGCTGGGAAAAAAACTAAAGTGTGACTCAAAATCCCCAATTTTGACCCCAAATGTTGTGAATTTGATAACAGAACACATCTGGATTCAGTTCATTATTCCTCACCCATAAAGGGGTTAAAAAATAAGGTAAAATGAAATTTGAAAAGCAAAAATCATCAAGCACAGAGCAGGGAAAAAAAAATTCCCAAAATCAGATTTTCATTCCATTCCCCTGAATGCAAAATTCCCTTCAACCACAAAACAATTCCTTGAGCCTCCACATAATTTTATGGAAAATTCAGCATGAATTCCTGGATGTTTTGAGGAAAAAAGAGGTGGAAAAATCACTTTTGCTGGGAGGATGGAAGAGCCTATCCAGGTAATTTTGAAGAATATTCACCAGGAATTCTTGAATATTTTGATGGAAAAAAGAGGTGGAAAACTCAATTTTGTTCAGGTGAAAGAAAAGCCTATCCATTTATGAATATCCACCATGAATTCCTGAATATTTTGATGGAAAAGGAGGTGGAAAACTCAATTTTGCCTGGGGAAAGGAAGATCCCATCCATTCAATTTTAAGGAATATTCACCATGAGTTCTTGAATATTTCGAGGAAAAAAACCTCACTTTTGCTCAGGGGTAGGACAAGCCCATCCACACAATTTTAAGGAATATTCACCATGAGTTCTTGAATATTTTGAGAAAAAAAAGAGGTGAAAAACTCACTTTTGCTGGGGGGAAGGAAGAGCCCATCCACATAACGTCCCTTGGTGTGGTGGAAAGCACAGTTGTGCTTCTGGCAGCCTCCAGGTTGGTTCTCCCAGTAACAGGCAATCTCACTTCTCTTTTTCTGAGGGGAAAAAAAAAAATAAAAAAATCACAAATCCAAACTCAGGGAATTCTCCCTTGGATCTACAGACCACGGGGAAAGGTGAAATTTATTTCAGAGGGAAGCTAAAAATAGCTCGGGGTTTATAGAAAAGGTTTTGGAGGGTGGGAAAATGGAATTTAGCTGTAACTGAGATGAATTAATACAAAATCCAAAATAATGGGATTATTCACAGTGGAAAGTTTAAATTTTCAGATTTCAATTGCTGGTGAAATCTACCTGAATTTCTCTTTCAGAGCTTTAGCTCCTTCCCATCTTTTTTTTTTTTTTTTCTTCCCACCCAAGAGTTCAGGATAAAGTTTTGGGGAGGAATCCAGGGCCATTTTCCAGCTCTCAGGAATATTCCCCACCACATTCAAGGAGTGGGATCCAGAAAAGTGGAATTAAATTAGGCAACAACACCACTCCATACAAATATTTCCCCCCTAGAAACATCTTAAAACTCATTTTTTTTTCTTTTTTCCTATTAAATCTCTACTGGGAAATGACATTTATTCCTCTGACATGATTGGGAAGCTGTGGAAGGGTTTTTTTTTTTGATTTTTAGGGAGGACTCACATCGATTTCCATGTGCCTGAACCTGCAGACATTCCTGAAGCAGCGACCCTCCTGCCACAGGGTGCACACGGTCTCACTGCCCAGGGCGGCCTCACAGTGGCGGAAGGAACACGAGTCTCCCTGAAATTCACAGGAAAACAGGGAAAAAAAAAAAGGGAAAAGAACATTTAGCTTCTAAAAAAGAAATGGGATTGGGAAGGAGAAGTGGGTAAGGTGTAAGAGATGGGGTGGGGAAAGTTGCCGGGTTAAAAAAATGGGATGGGAAAAGAAACAAAGGTTAAAAATGGGATGGGAAAAGAGAGTTTAAAAAATGGGATGGGAAAAGAGTTTCAAAAATGAGATGGGAAAACACACAGGTTAAAAAAAATGGGTTGGAAAGGGAAATTACAGGTTAAAAATGGGATGGGAAAAGAGAGTTAAAAAAATGGGATGGGAAAAGAAACACAGATTAAAAAATGGGTTGGAAAGGGAAAAGACAGGTTAAAAATGGGATGGGAAAAGCACACAGTTAAAAAAATGGGATGGGAAAATCATACAGGTTAAAAAAATGGGTTGGAAAGGGAAATCACAGGTTACAAAAAATGGGATGGGAAAACATATAGCTTAAAAAATGGGATAGAAAGAGAAATCACACGGATTAAAAATGGGATGGGAAAAGACACAGGTTAAAAAATGGGATGGGAAAAGCACACAGGTTACAAAAAAAAAAAGGGTTGGAAAGGGAAATCACAGGTTAAAAATGGGATGGGAAAAGCACACAGTTAAAAAATGGGATGGGAAAACAAGAGTTTAAAAATGGGAGGGGAAAAGAAACACAGATTAAAAAATGGGATGGAAAAAGCACATAGGTTATAAAAAATGGGATAGAAAGGAAAATCACAGGTTACAAGAAAATGGGATGGGAAAACACACAGGCAAAAAATGGGATGGGAAAAGAAACACAGGTTAAAAAAATGGGATGGGAAAATCATACAGGTTATAAAAATGGGATGGGAAAACACACAGGGTAAATAATGGGATGGGAAAACACACAGGTTAAAAAATGGGATGGAAAGGGGAATCAAACAGGTTAAAAATAGGATGGAAAGGGAAATCACAGAGGTTAAAAATGGGATGGAAAGGGAAATCACAGAGGTTAAAAATGGGATGGAAAGGGAAATCACAGAGGTTAAA